ATGTCCATGACTAGCGCAATTGCGACAAACACTTTCTCTCATGGCTGAAAAGCCCAATTCTAGAACGGCAGACACGGCCGCATCCACCGCACTGAGAGAATATTGACCGGCAATAGAGCATTTTGATTGGTTGATTTTAGTTATTGGCCCTCTGACTGCCCGAGTCATGTAATAATTGTTAAATATTGTGCAATAAAAGCTATTTGCAATAAAAGATCCTGTGATGTAAACATCACTTTTTCTGTTATGTTAAAATCAATTGTCCTTGTTTCCTAAGAATATTAGAGACTGCAGGAATAAATAACTAATTAAAATGCAAACTACTGATATTCAACCCTATTTAAGATAATTTAATGATTTCAACAAAACGAGATAGTCCAATGGCAGGTTAAGTATTGAATTTGAACAAAGATTTGAATTGGATGGTGTGAAGTATTTAATATTCCATCTGATTAGCAAAAATGGATCTTTAATTAGTAATTAATTAAAAATCCAGCCATTGTAAGAGCATATAGTGGGGAAATACAAAATAAGCTTGATTACTTTGCACTAGGGATATTCATTGATATTTTTTACCTCAGCAACTCAACTACAATAGCTGATGATCCATCACTTTCTACCATGTGTAGATGTTTGAAAAATGTCTTCATCTCTTCCTCGTATAATTCGTAACAACTGAAAAAGAGAAAGCAAGAAAATCAACATTTTAATTACCATTCATTCAGTAGAAGAAGAAGGCGTATAATGTATTGTGGTACTACCCCCCTGCCCAACGTAGAAAGTATTTTGTTACTAATTAAAATCAATTCTCCTTTAAGAAAGTCTCTTTTAATTCACCTGCAGTATAAAATAAGAGACTTCTTTCGATGGAAATTTTTTTTTCATAATTTACATTAATATGTTACGCAGTGTTGTTCCTGATCATGTTATCTGCTCACAAATACTACGTACTCCACATACCAAATTATTTCTGGTTCCAGAGCTATTTCTTCTCCTTTGAAACCTACTGAAATCTCAAGAATGTCGCCCACTTTAAGAAATGCTCTGCTGACATCATCTGCGCCGAAATTCTTCAGGTCGAGAAGAAGTTCGATGTATTCGAACTCTTGTTTTCCATTAGAAGAGCAGGTTTTCTTGACCAAAATCCATGCTTCCTGGTTTGTTCTTCGTACAACAACACCTTCTACCTTGAAATCATCCCGATCAAAAATGTTAGCAAGACAATTATAAGTTCTGCTTTCATTTTCCTCGCATTTCTCTGCAGCCTCTTCTGCGTATGAGAAGCCTTTAAGTTCGTGAAAAAACTGTTCTATCGTTTTATCGGTCAATTTGAAGTTTTCTGCCTTCTTCTTGTCAATAAACGCCAGCAGTAACGCCTTTCGATACTTGTATGTGACATGGCACGTTTCAAGTTTACACACAGTATTTTTCCATTTTTTAGCTGCTTTCACCCCAGTTAAAAATTCTTCGTAATGTTTCCGGTAATCTCTAAGGAGCAATCCATCTTTGCAAAATTTCTCGATGTCTTTATTCGCCATAGCTCCATAAAACTTGTAAACCAGGGGGTCCACAATCCGTAACGTGAGGTAGGAGCGGGTTAGTGAGCGCTCAAGTCTTCACTGGGTACCCCCGAGTTACTGTTGATCTGCGTGGGTATAGCTTGTTTCTCCAGTACTTCCTTCCGTGAATCTTCTTGCCTTTGGCCCAGGAAAGCGGTTTCTGGTACCCATAAAAGAGAGAAGGTGCTATGCAGTTGAAAACTTAGTCTTACTCTGTAAGGAAATATCCCTTCGATATATGATTGTACTTTCTCGGAAAGACTATTTTCTCGGAAAGACTTAAGAGGTAAGTCTGAGGTCAATTGCGACGAATCGCTATCCCTGAGGTTCTCTGTCCTTTGTTTCAGAACAGAAAATACGTCCTTTTTCTTGTAATTTAGCCATAATTCGCTGAACAAAAACGTTAAGAAGCACGCCTTCTAAACCATACACCGTAAGGATCATTGAGAAACCTGTATTATGACCACAAAGACACCCTGGGCCTAGGGGCTTGCTTCGCGATCTTTCTAAAGAGGTAACGTTCTTATCATTATGATCGAGCATGTTTATAGAGTGAGGTACTCAGCGTACGTTCGTGTAATGAGGGGGATTTGTAAGTCATTCCCTAGGTATGTATGTGTAGAGAAAGATCATAATCGTCATGAAACAGCTGATGTACAAGCTAAGTAACAAGTCAAAGGAGAGCTGAGGGCCGTGAAGTGTAGTTGAACTAAAGGTCTCTTGGCGACAATCTCTTGTGGGTAACTAATTTCACAAACGCAGAAATTTTTTCAGTGTAATTGCCCCAGTCGTAAGCTCTCATACTCGGAAATACGCCTACTTTCTTCGCCAATAATTTGAAATGTCTTCATTTAGACCCCACCAAGGTCACCCATTTACGTGCGAATGTGAGGTTTTGCAACGACTGGAGGTTAACTCTGAATACGTAATACTACTACATTGAAGCTGTACTTACATACGGCCACTCAGATCCTCCTGAAATGTTCGATGTGGCTAAATATCCGATAACTAGACACACTCTTAAAATACACTTAATTCCCGAAAGTTGGAAATATTACGGACTTCTCACTGAAATAATTTTTGGGATCGCTTCACATTTCTAAACAAACAAACACGATACTCATGGAGGGATGTTTGAAATAATCTTTCAGGGGAAATTCTGAGAAAATTGCCTAACTTCTAAGTATTTCATAGTCTAATTAAGACCGTGACCGGCTGCCGGGCATTTAGCCACATTCTAAAATGTTTTATTTTTCATCGCCTTTCCTATTAAAGTGAGTCTGAAACTAGGAAGAATGAGAAATGGACGAAGCCTGGGTCTGAGCGTCCGCTTGCTAATTGTTTTCACGATAAAATACAATACAGTAAACAGATTTAACGACTTCCATTCAGAACTATAAAGCCCAAATCATTCATGTATCCGACAATTTTAAATGTGAGTTCTTGAAAGTTCAGAGTGGAACTTCCATTTAGGAGACACCGACAGGACTACGAGAAATATCCTTTGAATATATATATGTGTTCTGACTGAGAGGGTAATATATGCAACAGGTAGAGTCGGGACGCATTAAGCTTGGTTTTCTATAGTGACGCAAGCACAAGCGCAGGCACTGACGCAAGCTTAAAGTTTATATGCCAATTGGAAAAGAACGTCGGCAAGCATAAGCACTACCACAAGGAAAAGGAAGAATTTTAATCCTTGCGCTTGCACTTGTGTTTATGTTTATGTCGAAGCCGTTTTTACGGTGAAATAAGAGCTGCTATGCTTGCGTTTGTGCTTGAGTCGCTGGTAAAAACCAGACTTTAGGAAACAAATCGCTAGGACAAGTCGCGGGGACAAGTTGCTGAGACGCTTCACCTTAAGTGACAGAGGGTATTTTAAACCAATTAGAATACGCGCAACATATCGCAAAGGACAAAATTCTGATTTGCGCGACGAAACGACGAAGTTTTTCCCAAAACTCTTTCATGTCACACGAGCCAAACTGTCGTATAGTCGCCACGACTTGTCCCCAAGGTGTGTCGAAGCGGCTTCCTTTCGGGGCAGTAAATGAAAAACAGTTTCTCGCAGATACCTATGCTATCCTCGTCAGGGGCAGACAAGGAAGCAAATTACGATCTCGTTAATATCATTACTTCATGTCCATGACTTTGCGTTCATGACTTCGCGTTCGTTCTGTTGAGTTTGTCGATAAAAATATATGAATACTACTCTAAGGCTAAAAGTGGAAGAAAGTAATAGAATGTACATCAAAGACGTTCAAATTTCCTACCTTTCGCAGAGATGTCGAGTGTGTCCGGGAAAGTTGAAGAATCAAAAGGACAAGATAGGAAAGATGAACATAAAAAACGAAGAGCAGAAGGTGAACCAAGCTGGTATGAAATAGCTGTCGATGCAAATTTTGAGGAGGAAGTATTAGAAATTCCAAAAAATAAGGTGGGACTTGTTATAGGAAAAAAAGGTTGGAAAAGAGAGGATATAATCTCCCGAAGTGGAATCTGGGACTTATTCATCAAAGAAGACCTGGTTTACATAAGAGGAACTGCAGAACAGCGCAACAGCGCAAAACAAATTATCGAAAAGGTCTTACGTGTGAGTTTCGCTTTTATTTTTACCCCCTTCTATGTTATTATTAACGTGTTGTTTGTGTTGATTTCCTTAAAGCCCTAGAAAAACGTTTGCAAAACAAAGTTTACACTGATGATTTTAACAGTCAGCTTACGTGTTAGTGTCTGATAACGGGAGACAAACGCCCGCCTATCTTCGGTCCATCCTTCTATCTTTCTTTCCTTCCATTCCTCTATTCTTCCCTCCTTCAATTCTTCAATGATTCACTCCGGTCTGCCTCTCAGAAATTCCTGAGAGTGGTCCGAACCAACACCAAATCATATGGGATTGGGCTTTTTGTATCGCAGGCCCGAGGCTCTGGATTGAGTTCCCCCCACAATATTAGTAGTTGTTAAGAGGGTCGTTAAGACCTTTTTAAGTTAGCATACAGCTTTTAGGAATCTTTACAATTATAATGATTCGTAAACAGAAACGATTCATTGTATAAATTAGATATTAGACTAATGTAAATATCATTGTTTAGCTATTAGGATCGTAAAGCGGTTAGAGTAGATAATGGTTAGGCACTATAGAAATAAATTTTATCACTATTATTATTATTGCTATTATGAGGATTACTATGAAATTGTTATCATTATTCCATCCTTCCTTCCTTCCTTCCTTCCTTCCTTTTTTCCCTCTATTCTCCCGCTTTCATCCTTCTTCCTTCCTTCTTACTTACTTTCCTTCCTTCCAACCTTCCTACCTTCCTTTCTTCCTATCCTCTTTTCTACCTTCCTTTCTTCCTATCCTCTTTTCTACCTTCCTTTCTTCCTATCCTCTTTTCTACCTTCCTTTCTTCCTATCCTCTTTTCTACCTTCCTTTCTTCCTATCCTCTTTTCTACCTTCCTTTCTTCCTATCCTCTTTTCTACCTTCCTTCCTTCCTATCCTCTTTTCTACCTTCCTTCCTTCCTATCCTCTTTTCTACCTTCCTTTCTTCCTATCCTCTTTTCTACCTTCCTTCCTTCCTACTTTCCTTCGTTTGGGCCTTCCTTCCTTCGTTCCTTCCTTTTCCAGCATGCCTCTGTGGTTCTTTCCGTGAATTTTCCCCTTCCCGTTATTATTATTATTGTTCAAACTCGATTCTTTTTCACATTTTAATCCTGTTAACCAGGGAGAAGATAACCCTGACCAAGGGTCTTGGAGAAAGTTGACCTTCATACCGGAAGATTGCATGGGTAAAGTAATAGGGAAAAACCGCATGAATTTGGACAGATTTGAAAAAAAGACTAATTATGAGGCAAAATTGAAAGTTTTTGAAAGAAATAGCTTGTACATCAAGGGATCTCCAGAGAGTCAGAGTATAGCCATTCGGGACATTAAGGAAACCGTGGTAAGTCTTTCTGTGATATAAAGAGTGCTGTGTGAGAGTGTTTAAGTGGATATCGTCAATGGATAGAATGCCAATCCCAAGCGACTCCCAGAATATTTTAAATTTGCTAGCAACGGAGCGAATCAGTCAGCGAGCAGTCAGTTAACTTGATTGGGCCTGTCTGTGTTTGCCCGTAAACCTAATTTAAAGTAAAACGTCCATAATTGACCACCGCTGATCAAGACCAGTTTCCCAATTCTTAATGAAAGCACAATTCGACCGAACAATCTTTGTTCTCCTTATGGGCCTAATGAAAAGATTATAGTGACAGGCTTCAGTAGCCTGTGGATAAAAAGTACCTTTAGCGGCTAGGAAATGAGCGGCCATAATCAGGGAAAAAGCCTAATATGACTTCTGGACGAATCCCACACAAAACGGATGATTTTAAAATTACACACCAGGTCCTAATAGGCAAAGTGAGTATATTGTTGATTAGTATATACTAAAACAGTGGATAGCGTTGAAGGCGCGCTCTGATTGGCTAGTCAAACTCCGAATATCCTTTGCTATTTACCTCCGAGCAACTCGGGAAAAAATGGCTTTCCGGTTTGCATTCGTGACAAGCGAAGAAATCACTCAAATAACGACGAAGCAGTCCCTGAGAACACAGAGAAAGCGACGAAATTTGGTTTGGCCATGTTTGAAGGTAATGGTAACCAGGAATTTATCGATAAAAACCAATGAAAAAGTTTCTGTTTACAAATGCAAATTAATCTTGCGTAACCTCACTTGTTCACTTGAAAATCAAAGTTGAATGGTATATTTTACAGAATGGTTTCAAATACAAAAAGAGTTTGCAATACCATTTGAAGAAATGTCGCCACCAGAGCTAACCAAATGTCTTCAGAAATTTTATCTGTCAGCGAAAAAGCGAGAAGGCAGTTTTTACAACAAAAAATCACTTACCGCGATCCGAGCCGCGTTGGATCATCACGCGCGGGAAAATGTTGGAATCGTTGCTGGAATGAATGAATTAAAAACAATTTTTGGTGGTGTATATTATCTCACTGTTTTAGTAAAAGGCAGGTTAAAGCAAAGCAGGCCACTGAAGCGCTTTAAAGACTGCATCAAGGCCAACATCGCCTACACTGGCATCGCAACAATGCAGCTTGAGGAGTGTGCACAGGATCGCACTGGATGGCGTGCATTGATGCGCGAAGCAACAAAAGCCTTCGAAGCACACCGGCGAGCCAATGTCACTGAGGCTCGCGCTAAAAGGAAGGCAGCAGTAGAGACACCCAAACCTCCAGGCCAGTTTCCCTGCTCCGTGGATATTTACCTCGCCGCTTCGCGGCTTGGTAAATATCCACCACTAACCACCTCCACTTCGGTGAATAGTTGTTAAATAATCCCGAGAAGAAGTCGAGGGGATTATTCAACAGTGTTCGCTGAATCTGAGGCTAATAATTGTATTAGTATACCCGCTCAGGTGCTTTCGAATTCTGTCGTAAATTCTATAGATAGAGAAACCAGTGCGCATAGTTTGTTACAACTGTGGACTTTTAGCAGGTTGATGCAATTAAACCAACAAAACTTCCATAGGTTTCTTTGAAAGGTATTTCACCAAACTCAAAAGCATCTTTTGCGCCCTTTGCAATTTAAATTTCTTTAATCGCGTTTATCACTTTCTCGGAAGCCTGGACTAAACGCAAGGTAGTCACTTTGGAGTTTAGCGCCCCTTCTATTCCTGGTTTTCATGTGACGTCATCAAAGTTTGAAAATATGGAACTATCAATCCTTTTGAGATTTTAGTTTAGTTAGTTATTTGAACAGCTGAAGACTTGTCTCTTTTACAAATTTTCAGTTTCATAGGGTTTTTCGTCTTTTGATAAGGTTGAATTTCTCAGCGCTTGCGTGACAACATAAAATGGCAGCCGAGAATGCTGTCACTTATGTTAAAAAAGTGACTTATCTGCTGAGATTTCGCTATCTGAACAGTCTTTGTATGAGAAAAAGTACTCATATAGATTTCATTTATGAGAAATTTATTATTAGTAGACGACTTCAGCCTTTTCAGAGCCAAACTCGATGACGTATGTTTTTGTTAGCTTCAAGCCGCCCTAATTGTGCTCCTAAGGGGGACACAAACATGGCGTCTTCGTAACAAGTTTTATAAATTTGAATGCAACCTTTTTTTTCGAATATATCCTGTTCGAAAAATCGCCCAGTCCTGAATCTTTGCGAAACTATTTGAATTTTCATCTTCTTTGATCTCTTTGATTCTTGACCTTATTTGTTGAATGGTTTTGATGATCTCGTGACAGTGAAAACCGGCGATAATCACCTCGCACGTGGTGATTATGTGACGTGATCCAAATGATATGACCCAATCCGCTACCAATCAGAGCGCGTGCATCTCTATAATCACCCAAGCAATTGTGCAAAATTTCTGTAAAATTTTAAAAGAACGTTATATACTATGTTTTCTATGCGATTAGTATAGGTAATGACATGCTTTCGAGTGCAATTTGGTGTAAATAAGCACGAGTAAATTTTTCAAAAGTTGAACGTGCCCGTAGGGCAAGTGCAAATTGTAGTCTTGAAAAATTTACAAGTGCTTTTAACAAGAAATTACACGAGAAATCAGGTTCTTACTTTTTAATAATTTGCATGAGGAGAGCATTACAGAAAGTCGAGACAGACGAAATTTTGACAGCTCGCACACTATTTGTAATTTGCACTAGTGTTGCAACTTTGCAATCGAGTTACATGAAAAATGCACACGTATCTAGCTAATCAGAAGCGCGTAATTTTTTCATGTATATCTTTATCGTTTTTCTCCCCTATGAAGAAAAATTGGAAGAAAAAATTCGTTGCACGATTTGTCCATGTGGACACAGCTTACCTGGAAGAAAGCCATGAGTTTAAGCTATCCATCGTACAACCGTCACCAAATACCAATATGCGGCAGAAGTGTTTTAAACTGGAACTTCTGGACGATCCTTTAAAAGAGGTATGCCGTTAAATTTAGATATGACTTGAGGAAAATACCCTACAACAAATGCTGTAAAAGTTAGTGGTTTCATTTTTCTCCAACATAATTCAACCCAAATCTTTTTCTTTTTAATGGTTCGGAACCCTCCTGAGAATACTGGTGGAGGGCCTCCACAACCGTTTCACCTTGAAAAACCAGTCGATCCAGACCCTAACAGATAACACTAGTACTAGTCCCTCCTCTGGCAAGATTCGATTATTGATCATCCTCTGTCACTGCTTTACTTTCTCTCCGATGTCCCTTCTGAAGATTTCCTAGTACATCACGACAATATCTCCGAGAAAGAGAATATCGTTAGGTGAAATTCTCTTGCTCCTAGATGGTATTATTCTATTCCTATCATTTTACTTGCCAGGATATTACCATGGTATTGCCAGCAGAAATTGCACATCAATCTGCCAAAAATAAGGTAGCCTGTAGGGTTCGTCATTAAGTTACTTAGCCGCCTGAAGGCGAGTTTCCCACCGAACCATGGTAAGCTCTTTGCGAGTAAAAAACTGCAGAAGTGCACTTGCTTCGTGTACCTACGTTATCATTATGTTCAGGTTTTGATACTCAATATAACCAAATCAAGTCGCATAATCATTATCACACACTAAAGAGAATCTCTGGAACTTTTTCTCGTGCAGCAATTAAACTGCGTAATGTTTCTCGTATTCGTCTAACTATGAAAGGCGTATTCTATTATTTCAAAGGAAACAACCTCTGGTTTTGGAGACACGGAAAGCCTGAAAAAAAATATGCTGGGGATTTTGAGAGAAATTCACAAAGAGAAGGAGGAGGAAATGGTCCTAGTAGATATCTGGTGTCATTTTGGTCACGCCTACCTTAACAAGGTTGATCAAGGTCAGTCCGGGAGATTTTATACATCTTTTTGTGAATTGGCGGGGTATCAATTGGAGATCTTCTCATACTCCTTTCGATAGATGAAGAGGATGACACCTTCACTCTGGAGGAGCTTAAAGATAGAATTGAATCAACGGCTGATGATTGTTGGAAGACTTTCTTCTCAGAAGTTGAGACAATCGAAGTTGAACAGACAGAAACGTCTCTGAAAGATTGCGCATGCACAACTAGTGATGACATACGATACGACTTCACCTTCTTCACTCCATCTGGCTTAGAAAAACGAGTTAAGGTAATTTGAACACGTAGTAGCAAACCATTATTCCTACTGGAGTGGGGCTACCGTCGCCTCTAGACTAAGGTCACTAAGGAGGGACACCCAAGCCGAAAAAGGTATCTTCATTAAGCTAAAGGTAAACAGATGTCGAACCCAAGCAAACTCACGTCGCCTCATCTGTAGTAACGTCATCTCATGTCATAGATCCCCTTCTTAAAAAGTCGACCAATTATGAAATGCGATCTCGTGGAAATTGAGTTCCATTGTTCGTTAATCCGTTAAGCATCGGTAACTAGGCCCATGACGATATTGCCTTTCTAATTATGTTTTACTACCATTACATTTTCTTTAAGTTAACCAATGAAAACCTTCGATTGAAGAGAATGTTAGTTTTCCATCTTAACCATTCAATCCCAAACATTATGCCATTTAATTAAGCTTAGGGAACGGACAGTCTACAGCCCCCACACTTCACATCGCGTTCAACAGTTTTTGCCTTCTTTTTCTTAAAGCTGGACTTAGTTTAATACCACTCTGGTGTAAAGATTTGATGAATGTAACCAAGAAGTTACAATTCATAGAACCAACGTTTCGACAATCCTGTCTAGCGCCTTCATCAGGGGTGATCTAATCCTTGCAACAAGAGGTCCTTTATGTGTTCACTGATTAGCTGCTCTTTTTTAAAAGGGGCGTGGGCGGAGTCGATAGGCCAGGCTTCCAAACAAAGACGTTGGTGGCAACGTCGACTAGTGGTGATAATTTTAGAATTTTACCACCCAATTGTATGGTTAGGTAGGATATGTGTGCTTTGACAAAGCTGAAAGAGAGCTTTCTGCCATTTTCTTTCGCGTCTGGCTAGCTAAAGAATATAAAATATTTGCTAAGCCGGTTCACCAAGATTTCATTGCAGAAGGTGCAAATTAACCAAGGCTCAACCAAATTTTATCTTTGTATTTTTTATCATAATTCCTCTTTTAATAGGTATGGCTCATAGAAAAAGAACCCGGGACCGAAGGCGCTTCAACGTCTTCCTTGGGGTTCCGTCGCAGCACTCCACTTCCCGTTAGAAACGCCTTGACACAGGTTTTGCCTAACGAGCATAGTGGAGATGCATCGAACTCACCAAGCTTCCACATATGTGATACATTTCATCAAAGAATGAAACTCGACATTCTAATGCCGTCGGCAGGATTTGATTGCCGTCTGAAAATAAGAACATGTGAGGAAACATTTCTCTTAAACTTGAGATCTAAGAAATGATTCTACATCATTCCGTATGTTATTTACTTGTTGCAATGGTTGCTATAATGAATTCTATGATTGGTAAATTGATTTGAACACACTTAGAGTGATTGGCTAATGTACCACTCTGATCACTGGTGTCCGATTTGAACCAACGTTTCGACCACAACTCAGCAGAATAATTAATGAAAAAAAAGCGGTTTTTCCACCCATCACATAAGACGAAATTGTGATAGTTATAACTTAAGGTTTGTGACTTACATGAAAAAAATTGCAAGCATTTAACTATGCAGAACAAAAGTGGACACAGCCTGACCCCACTTCTTTCCTGTTTTAGTTCCAAAGTTTCCAAAAACGACTCCTCAAGCAGACGAAGAGCGCAAAATTTTTGAAAAATACCTCATGAACATGAAAATTGAAGATGGTCAACTGAATTTCCCACCAAATTCCGAGCTACCAGATGGGTTTGACCTATTCTTTCAGCGCCGCAGCCTTCGTAAGACGTATCAGTATGAATATGACGGAGACATGTTTACTTTGACTGTTTGCAAAGACCAGTCAAAAGCAGTGAATCCCGACCAGACTGATGCGTACAATTTCAATGAATCAAAAGCGAAGGTATTCCTAATTACACAAGAACGATTTTGCCTTTCTACGCACTTCCCTGATTTCAATGTGTTCTCCCCATTAGGTGCCATTCGTCATGAATATCATGTTTTATTTGTTCGCTCACAGGCGTTCCAGTTAGCGATATGAGTTCATGTTTGTTTATGCCCCATGGTAAACTATGCCTGATATTTGAAGGAAGAGCATAACATGACGGTTTAAACAGGCAAAACTTGACTTTTCCTTTTGAAGCTTATGGAGATACATTATTTTCTAGGATTACACGACTTCGATTGTATCTGCCTCTAGGCCTGAAACCGTTGTTTTCCTGTGCAAATATCTTATTTTTCGTATAAGATTAACTTAAGTAATAATCTTGTTCCCTTGCCTGATGTCCTCTCGCATCTGAGGCCTGAGATGTTAAGTGTCCACCAAACAAACTAGCCTGTCCCTTCGCACACTGAGTCGTCGGTGGGTTACCTAATCGCATCATATAACATTACATCACATCACATCACGTCACATTCCCATCACATCATATCACATCACATCACGTTACGTCACGCACGTCAAGTCACGTCACGTCAAGCCACATCACATCACATCAGATCAGATCATCACATCACATCACACCGCATCACATCACATCACACCACATCTCATCACACCAAATCATATAGTATGCACATCACATCACATTTACATCTACATTCACATTAAATTACATTTCACGTCACATATACTTCTCATCTTTCAAAGACGAGTCTTTATTAAGTAATATGCAAGGTTCAGGTAAAAAGCAAAAAGGGTCGCATTTATTTAACAGTTGTGTCAACTCATTTGAAAAATTTTGAAAAGTCACAGCTGTGGTCGCCATTGAACACGAAGAATAAATAATTGTAACCGCACTTAATACTTTTGTTATGACAATACAGCACCGCATTGCTTTATAGTTACACTAAGACTCCGTACTAAATAGAAGCCAAAGTCTAGTGATAAGAAGTGAGAGGTCAGATTAACGTTGTTGTAAATATCTTAATGAGGGGACTCACAATCCGTTTAGAGCGTGACCTTGAGGTCGTATCGTGGAGCTACAATTACTAATGAGTTCAGTGCTTAAATGTGAGTCGTTGATGTGGGTATTATTACAGTCTTTTCGTTTCATTTGTATTTCGTTTTTAATTTCGTTGCAGTACTAATGTGTTTTGTTTGATGTTTTTTGTCAATAATGAAAAGCCAGATGTTCATCTCCACTGTGAAGAATGGGACCAAGTACTAAATGAAGGAAACTGGGAACCAGAGCAGATTACTGCTAAGCTTCCTAAATTTTTACGGTTTCTAAGGAAAGTTCAGAGAAATGTTGCCCCACAGTAATAGCGAGTGACGGGTGATTTCAGCGAAGAACAAGCCCTATAGACCCCCACCCCCCTCAAGATACGTCACAGCAAGATGCGTCTGTTTGGTGTGTTTCCTAACCTGTTTGTCCTCCAAGTTAAACAGGAAGGTTGATCAGCCATTTCAAGACATAAGTTTCTAGAACAATTTTAGATGGACTTCTACCATGTATGGTCTGTTCTCTAAGATGATAATTTTGTTTGTAGTGTAAACTAAGGGTAAATAAACGCGTTTTTGCTCTAAATGTCGTTGCAGCGTTCAATGCAAATATTTGAGCAAAGCAAACTCTCTTCCGCTAAATACGGTTTTTCTGCAATGTAGCCAGCTAGAGAAAAGTATGCTATTTGTAGATAATATTTAGCCTCATCGCCTTTTACCCCTTGACCGGCGAGGCAACCAGATATTTGCTAAATGTTTAGGGACCGGGGACTATCGCTCATTTTAGAGACTCAAAATTAAATACAACAAGCAGGGAGTTTTGGGCCTCTAAAGTGCAAGCAGTGAGATCGCGCCTTTTTGGATATAGGAAATGACCACGAAGTGTACGGAAAGAGCAAATGATTCAGAAAATAGTTCTGTGGCCTCAATCAACGATTAATCACAATTGGCAATTACAATGTTTTGCTTTATTGAATCAAAAGCAAACCTTTGAGCTTACGAATACAAAGCAAGCAAAGAAAATGCATTTCTTCTCATCGCCATGATGCTAACGAAGACGGGATAATACTTCCATCCCGTTTGGCGTTTTCTGGCAAAGAGCTACAGGTACATCTTCGTAATGAATCCAGCTGGGAGGGATGCAATAAATGTCATTCCACTTCCTTGGAGTAAAATCCCATCTCCAATTCTTTCCAATCAGGTGCACACATTTCTCGAACACATTGTTTGGTTCACCAACTTTCCATGCCGTGTAGCCAGTCAGCGGTGTGTCGTCTGTCCAGTAAAACGTATTGGATCCTCTTCGTTGCAGTCCTATCCATGCTCCGCGACTTGTAAACCTCACCTGCTTCTTAAGAAGGTTTAAGAGAAACTGATTTTGGGTGGCGGATGTAATTTTAGCGAGGTCTCCCAGTTTTCGGCAGTTTCGTCTTGCAGCTTTCCATTCCCTAATTGGAATGTCGATGACGAGGAAGCAAGAGTTTCCATAATGAACCCAACCCTCTGGACAAATTGATTCTGATTCTGATAAAGACGAGGAAAGAAAGTAAGAAAGGCACTGTACGAAGTGATAAATATTAGAAAAAAAGAAAATTTTAATATGAACGTTAGAGGGTGATCTTAGATAAAGCATTCACACTGACATTTTTTCAGACCTTCGATGTCTCCTTATTTTTCCACACACCAGTTGTTTACACAGTGTCGTTTCCAGTGATGAAATATGCAGACTTTGACAGGCGCAATGAACAAACCCATCTAAATCGCATTTACCTACCATGGCATGGTCCCTTGTTACACGGCCTTGTTTCCTTGCTGGGTCCTGAACACCGAGCCTCCTCTTTAGACGGCGAGGGATCGGTACAAGTTCGCTTACGCTCTTGTTCTCCATCTCCACAGACAGCATTGCATTCACCCCAGTCTTCCCAATCACTCCATCTGCCACTGACAACAGTTTCTGAAGGAAAGACAAACTTTATTCTAAAGCATATTTGTAGAGGACTAAGTCGAGAGGACTCAATTGGACTGGGACCGAGCCCTGAATCGTGGGATCATCGGATCAACTGAGTGTCGAGTACAGTCAATATGTTGAATTTTACAAATTATTTGTCGTTCAGCTGTTGTCTTTGACCCGAACTGGACTAACATTGTTAGCACTTCATGCTTTTACATTTTACCATGATAATTTAAAATCGATTCCTAACTGAACAATAACACTGTTACAATTTTTCATCTTGCAACATCTGAACTTCTCAATGCAGCAGAGCTTATCGCAGCTACTTTTGTAGAAACCGGTCATGTAATAACCGTCCCGCTGGCATTCACTCCATCCCCTCGTGTCAAATGAAATGGTAATTAACATCTTCATCGTAACAGTCTTCATAACTGGTGGGATGATTTTGTGGATGGCAACATTTTGCCTCGTCTATTTCTAGAGCCCAGACATTATACCTGAAAGAAAGTACACGATATTCAACACGATATGACAAGGGGAGCAAGCAGAGATTTCACAGCTGTTCCAGATCAATGGAGGCCACATAACTGCTGCCTGGATCGAAGAGAAACCGGAACCTAAATAGGAAAAACCGAAAACCTCATCGGATACCAAATCCGAAAACTCGCTAGTATTTTTGACGAAAACCGAAGATCAAATGCTAAAAAACGGAAAATCTTCAAACCGCAATGGACACCAAAACCGAAAAACCGATCTAGAAAATAGGCAAAACCACAAAAGCGAAATTCCCAATGCCCCCTCATTAACTATAAGCTTCTAATAATACTCACTACCTCCAAACGTTTTTTGCAATATCTTTCCTTTTATCAAAGATTTTGTTGTTTAATAAATGAACGGTTAAAAATTGTCTCACGATGCAGAGCCAGGCTATCAATTGCATTAATTGTTTTGATTCCTAAAGTAAAAAAGGATGCATAACAGAAGTGATGTAACGGCTATGCGGAAGGTGAAAAGAGTTTAAACGTGACGCGTGATTAATATCTGGCGCGTGGATTCACAGAAAGGCGAGCTGGATTCATGAACCAGCGTGAGGTGATTTATCTCCTGAAGTGTGCGTAACTCGTAAATTTGTTTTTCTCACTTCGTGAAAACCTAAAGATTTACCTGAAACCATGCGCAATAGAACTGTTGAAGAACTCCCTTTTGAAGTCGTGACGAATTAAATACTGTTTAAAATATACGTGAAGCGTGAGTTTTTCTCAAATTTGAGCGTGAAACGGGATCGGGAACCTCTCTTAGCTACCATCTATGCACATAAACAGATTCAACAGTAAAAGTTTTATAAAACTGCATCGTTAAGAATTTTAGAAAGTCGCTGGCCATTTGTATAAGGACGACATAAGTCTTCAGTGAAAATTTCAGTCTCCATTGGACAAACGGGAACTCGTAACATAAGTCAATTGATTAAATCTGATTATTTGGATTTCCGCTCGTTTTTCATCATTGAAAAAAAAATTAAGCTAATGAAGCTAAAAGAAAATGGATCGAGATTGATATTTTAGGGGGAAGATTTCCAGATGGGGTCTGTCGTCTTGAAATATGTGGCTGCCGAGTTTCTCGTCTAACGGTGCAAATAATGGAACTTGGTCTCAGTCATGATGCTGAGAAAAAAACACAAAATTAAAAAGTTTGATTCACGCCCAGGCAGGTCCAGGGTCGATTTTCACCCTCCTCTCTGTCTTTTCTCGGCAGATAGGGTTAGGGGCCGACCATTTAACTTTTGAGGGGGGGTGGGTGATTTCTGGTCATCAAGAAATTTTTTTTCTAGAAATCTGCAGTGCAGGATGTTTTTTTCCGATTTTTTAGTACATTTTTTCTGTTACATTTGGGCTGCATGTAATTTTTTTCTTCCAACAAGCGCTTGCAGGAAATTTTTTCAAAATCACCCACCTCTCCCCCCTCAAAAGTTAAATGGTCGGCCCCTTTCGTGAGGACGTTCAAACTTGCTCTTCAAGTCAAACAGTAAGACTGGTGAACTATTCTGGCAACTCCACTATTCAAAGTTTGCTGATTATTTGAATTTCCGCTCGTTTTTCATCACTGAAAAAAACTAAACTAACGAAGCTAAAAGAAAATGGATTCAGTTTGATATTTTAGGAGGGAAAATTTCCAGATGGGTCTATCCTCTTGAAATGTGTGGCTGCCGAGTTTCTTGTCAATGTTGGAAGTTTGTCTCAATCATGAGGCTGAGAACAAACCGCAAAATTATAGACCTTGATTCACGCCCAGGCCCTTCTATTGTGTCTTCTCTCGGCAAAATAAACTTGCACAAGGACGTTCACGCATGCTCCTTAAGTTAAACAGTGAGGCTGGTGAACTATTCTGGCAACTCCACTTTTCAAAGTTTACCTTTCATCCCATGAAAATTGTCGAAAATTCAGTTGAAAGGTTTATATGAGAAGTAGTTTGGCTGGCCAAACATGAAACACCCCAGAATGAAACAAAAGGCATATGGAATGTTGAAGAACGAAAAAGATAATGCGCGGATTGCAAACGAAGAAGTTGAAAGATTTAGCTTGAGGTAAGCAAGAATGCACACCATGCACAGGTCAAGAACTATTTTAGCTGTTTAAACTCGCTCTTGTTTTAACTTACACAAATTCTCGCGTAGGTATCAATTTGCTATTTGTTCCCAAGCCCCAACTATTTGGAATGATATCCCTCTGACTTTCCGTAACAGCGTTACCATTAGTAACTTCAAAAAGAAGCTTAAATTGTACTTCTTGAACCTGAATTAAATTTTTAGCTACCAAAATTGAATATTATACTGAACCTCTGATATACCCGGACTATTGTTTACTACTTAGATTAATCTACTGCTCTTTGTAAATTTGTGAACATTATACTGAACTTCTAATAAATCCCGATCGGTTCCAACACAGATGTCAATGACTGATGTAGGCACTTCATCCAACCCTTCAGGAGTTGCTAACTTATTCAACCGTTACTTTACATCAGTATTTAACGAAAGTTCAACCCCTCAACAACGCACCTGTACCAGTGACCCACCAACGTTGACAGACCTGAGCTTAACTGCAAAAGAAGTTAAAGATATTCTACATTCTTTAGGTTGTTCAAAGGCCACTGGCACTGATGGAATACCAGCAAAACTACTCAAAGAAACTGCTGACGTCATTGCACCTTCGCTTTGCTTGTTATTTAATCGATTCTATACTCGATCCTCTGCCTCTAATAACTTTTACCTACAAAGTTCCAGACTCTCAATTCAAGTGAATTCATTTTCTAGAATCGGAACAAAAATATGGAATGAATGCCTGTATCTTTTAGAAAACTTTCAAAAAATGTCTTCAAGAGGAAAATAAAACAAACACTTTTTGAGATCCTAGGTTCAGAAGATTGTTACATTGATCTTCTAGAAATCGTTCTGAAAGTTATGTTGAGTTTATCTTCCTCTTGATTGATCAGTTGATATGTATTCAATTATATCGTTTAATGCATTAGTAATCTCCCGTCAAGACTGTTGTCATTTATTATTAGTAATATCATTAGTTTATCAGTAGTCTCTAATCATTGTTGTCAATTCTAGCTTTTTAGTTCTCTTGTTACTTTTAACTGTATTTAGTTGTATCTATTTCCTGTAAACATGACCCGCCTAGATTAGCTTAGGTACCCGCGGCCATGTTACTGTACTTTTATCCCAAAACACACACAAAAAAAAAATGTATGTAAAAAATGTATCTATGTAGGTAAATGTATGATCACACAGCTCTGACACCATACCAAAGGAATGGAAACTGGCCAACATAGTCCCTGTTTTCAGAAAAGGCGATCGTCAACAAGTAGAGAATTATCGACCAATATATATCTACTACCCACAGTTTCTAAAGTATTGGAAAGATGTATTCTGAATAACATCCAAACTCATCTATACAACCACGTGGGTAAACAACAACACGGCTTCTTAACAGGAAAATCTTGTACCATCAACCTCATCGAAACATTGGAACGTATCGGCCGCCTGCTTGATAGAGGAAGTCAGACTGACGTCATCTATCTGGACATCTCAAAGGCCTTTGACAAAGTGAACCACGCCCAACTCTTGTCTAAACTTCATATCTCTGGTTTTGGAGGGAAACTATACGAATGGTTCCAGTCCTACCTCACAGATCGGCTTCAACGCGTTACTGTTCTTGGGGCCACATGTGATGCATTACCTGTTACATCGGGAGTCCCCCAGGGGTCCATCTTGGGACCCGCTCTGTTTTTGCTCTACGTAAACGACCTTCCGAACATGGTCTCCCAGAGCGAGACTCTAATGTTCGTAGATCTTGATTAGATTAGATTAGATTAGATTAGAATACCTTAGATTAGTATATTGTTCTTTGAAAAATTAGTCTTTGTCTCTGACCATAAGCCATTTAAGCCTCTGGCTTTGGCCAATCTAAGGAATTCACTTGTATGACACAAACAATAATAAAGAAAAAAGAATAAAGAATAAACTACATATTTGGAAGAAAATAAGCAAGACCTTAAAGGCGAAAATCACAGAGCCTCCCCCTAACAGCTTGTCTTTAAAAGTGCGTAAAATTTGTGAGATACATACCAAAACTGTGCTGTCTTTGACGGTTACTGACTTCGCTGTGATAGCCCAGTTCTACACCGTAAAGACACTGTAAAAGATTGTCGCCTGCACTTATGTCGTTGAATTTAAGAACATTACGTTGACGTAAAAACGGAACAGGGCTACATGACACTGACGTAACCCGGTTGAAAGGAATCCAAGTTCCTGTTAATCTCCAAAACCGACTACGTTTTATCATTCCTGTCTGTGAACTTAAGATATTGTTGCTGGAGAGCCTGACCTACAGTCTGAGTCGATATGTTAAAATTAAAGCAAACTCTACTTCGTTACTGTAGTTTCGAATTTTTTTTCGATAGTAGAAATTTAAACTCAATTCTAGACTGGAACTGCCACGGATCGTTAAAAGAGTATATAAAAGTTTTCATTTGGTTTTAAACGAGCCATAGCAAGTACAAGTAACGCAATCAAGGTCGTGGCCGTGAAATAACTAATTC